CACTCATTCCACATATCACTTCTACACGTTAAAAGTGACCACTTCCTGTGTACCAAGCCAGTCAGCCTCTTTCTCATTTAACCCTGCACCTTCAACTCTGGACTGTTCCCCAAGAAAAAGATGATGACTACATCAGCCTGAGACACATAACCATAATTCACCTCACCACAACCTTTGTTGCTGTCATATGTCACAAAAATCACAAACAGACACCCAAACACATGTCAGCCTGATGAACTGTTCATCACCTTGGGCAAGATCTCCATGTCATCAACAACATAGACATCATAGACAACATAGACATCAACATCATACACATTTTGCAGTTCCCAACCCACACATCCTTTCTGGACTGTTACTTAATTACCATAAGGGTTTGGGAACTCTTTACTACTTTCAGGGAGGCTCTCACAACAGATTTAGCCACTCTGAGACAGCCTGTTTCTTTAGCCCTTCCAGCTCCACAATTTTATCACTGGCCCCTGCTCCCTGAGATTGGGCCATGGACCACCAACCTCTGATTGTAGACTCCATCCAGGAGCAACCCCTACCTGCATCAAACGTTTCACAAGAGATTTGGCTAGAAATTCAATCACAAATCCAGAGGTTTCAAAACGGAAAAATGGTTATAGACTATCAAACTGCTGAAATATACCTCTTCTGCCTGTAAAGCCAATTCAAGATCTCCAAGCTGCCAATGCTGCCACGACTGCCCTCTGTGTATGCCGCCTCAGTCTTCTGCCACCCACAGTCTGGTGGTATAACCTGTCTGGACTAAAAACGTCTTTTTATGTCTTCAGTTAGTTCCTGTCAGCCAGCTCTCTTCATAAACACCCTGGATCTAACTCAAAGGTTAACTGATCTGGACTCAACCTCTCAGAGGTTCAAATACTTGTTTCCTCTTAAAAAAGAATTCTGATTAATGACATTCAAGCTGCCTGCTAAAAAGACATAAAAGCTCTGCTACAGTATCTGGCAGAAACTGGTTACAAAAAAACAACCCAAACCAAATCAAACCAAACCAAACTCTCCACAAATTTCTTGGAACTGCTGGCTTCTACAAAATCTAGATCCTTGGGTTCACAAAAACAATGATGCTTATTCAGACTGTCAGCCCCTGGGAGCACTCAGTGGCCCAACTGTCCAAATACTTACATCCTGTCACTAAAGGCTGCCTCTCCTCTTTGCATCCAGCTCTAACAGCCACTGTCCTTCTGATTAAAAAAAGTTGACAAGGTCACTTTGGGCCAACACCTAACTGTTCAGGTGCCACATGCTGTAAGGGGACCTCCTAAATAACTGTAGACCACCCCATCCAGCTACATACCTGCCACCAAACTGGACCTACCAACAGCCCATAACTGAAAACTGAGCCCCCGACAGATGCTGAGTGCACCCTATTCACAGATGAAAACAGTATTGTTAGAAATCAGGTCAGACAGGCCAGACCCGCTGTGGTCACCTTAGACAAAGCTATCTTGGCCAAAGAGGTCCTACTGCTGTTTAGAAACCTGCCACTGACACAAAATCATCCAATCCAGAGGCCTAAATCCCTCTGGGGATCTGACTGATTCAAACATCAACCCCAACCACCACATCTGCCCCCATCATTAGGTTACGGTTAGGGTCATTATCTTCTGCATGCTCAAGCTGCTGCCCTGGCATCTGTAACCCTGCAGCCAGCTCAGGCTTCAGTGTCTGTGTCACTGGCCCCCGCCCTCCCATTCCCGATCCACATAGAAAAAAACAACAAAGTGTGTAAGGCCCTACTGCAAAAACTCATCCCTAATGTGGCCTAACCTTGATCACTGATCAATGGGTGTACATTTGTAACAAAAGTGGCTGAAAAACTACATATAACATACATGCCACCAAGCTCTAAGAAAGTTTTAAAAAATGACCTATAACTCACATACATAACTCAGGTACATATTAACTTCCACATGTTTAAAAAATCCAGGTTTAGAACCGCTAAAAACCTTATCAGAAAGCTTGCTCTAAAGAGACAACATGCCCAAAGCCCTACTCTAGTCAATGACCAGTCCACGCACAGCTGAAACCTACAGACATCATTCGAAAGACTGCCCCATATCTATTTCCCCTTGATTTCTCTGCCCCAGTCCTTGCTTCTCCGCCCTGTTAGCTGTGTTTTTTGCCTGAAACTCTATAGACAGTTGCCCCCCAAAAACAGAACAATCAGTTCAATAGCTAAGATTTGATGAGCACCCGGGGCACTCCCCCTCCTAGACCAGATTAACCTCCCCACCCCCTGCCAGGGTACTGTTACAAAACAAACAGACCTAAATTATGTCTCTCCCTAAAAACAATTTTTAAAAAAAACTCTACAATAAGACAATCATGGGGATTTGGCTAAGGCCCATCCTAGGATCAATGACAACTCTAATGTTAGTACTTTTTAGTTGGGCCTTATCCCCCCCGCCCCCCCCAAATCACATTAATATGCTCAATAAATTTTTCAGAAAAACTAAAACTAAAACTAAAACAGGGTAACAGAAAATGTCACCCTGCCCCATTTCCCCTCCAGTATACCTCAGCTGACCAGCCAACAGTTCCTGTTCCAGTTCTGGTTGCTTCTGTTTCTTAGAAACAGCTGGTCACTGTGACACATGTTGTAAGAACCAGCCCCCAACTGACATTCTGTCTCTGTACTTCCTGCTTGCTTATCCCACATAAGCCCTAGACCACGAGACATCAGAGCCTGACATTCTGGGAATGATCTTGATCAGAGACCACTGACACAAATAAACCTGCCTCCAAATCCTGAGTATCATTTCAGTGTTTCTGCTTGCTGTTACAAATTCACACGGTCAGTGTCATCAACCATGTCACATGCTTTCTGTGCTTTCTGGTAGAGTCATTTGCCAAATGCATTAGGTAGTGACTCCATCATTCCTAGGAACATTTCTTAAAAACTCTCCAATTCATTGATCTTCCCAAAATGACAGTAAATATTTTATATACACAGAGTCAATTAGAAGGGCAGCCTAGCTTAGAAGCTCCACAGTTGGATGTGACTCCAAGCCCCCAAACAAGGCTGCTGCTGTTTATTCAGATGCACGCAACACCCTTATGGAATCCCCTAAGCAAAGACAAGCAAGAAGCTTTCCCATCCATGGCAGCAGATACACTGCAGCACTGGGTGCAACTACTGGTTCCCTAAGTAGCAACCAAGCAGCACCTGGAAAAAAGCACTGTACCCCCCCCCTCCCCGCCACCTAAAGGAGCCCCTCTGCTTCGGCCACACATGGCACCAGTTCACAAGGAATCTGTAGTCACTCGGTTGTTACTGGATTGATCCTATGACCTTGTTATTTAGTCACTGCTTGAAAGAGAACAAACTTTCACCTTCAAATACATCAGAGTTCTTGGTCAACAAGATTTGTCCGTCAGTCAACAAGGACTTGCAGAACACACAGGTACACAGTTTTATAATTGATAATTGATGTTTATACCTCCAATTCTCAAGGAACTCAAAGTCTCATTTGCCTTGTTTCTCTTATTAGTCAGCCAAATATTTACTGAGTAACTGGGCTATGGAGCTCACATCGAGTCTGATGAGGTAGGGAAGATTAAGGTAGTGTCTGCAGGGTAGGCAATCACAGGTGGAAGAGCCAAGATTCTCACTTGTTGGATTGCAAGTAAAGAAAGGTTCAAAGGAGGCATGCTCAATGCTGCAAGGGCAGGCAAGCTAGAGAGCACGGGAGGACCCAGGAACTACCGGGGGGTAACCAAGAGAAGAAATAAGGGAGGGCGGTAAGGAACGGGCAGTACATATTCACCCGCTCACGCTCAGACTGTGAGCATGAACTACGAACCAGGCGCCTCTCAGGGCACTGAAGTTACGTCTACAACTCAGTATCCGAAAGTCCTGCCCTGGGAAGAGACAACATTACAAATAAAAGTAAGAAAGATAAGGGACTAGATAGCGAGGAGCAATAGGAAAGGAGAGAGGCTGGCATTCTGAGAGAGGTTCCAGGACAAGTGACCCGATGTCACCTGACATGAGCCATAGGCAACACGCTGCCTGCGGGGAAGGGTACTCTGGCAGCTACTGGGCTCACACCTGGACAGCAGAGATGAGCTTGGGAAGGTGGCGATGTAAGATGTGTACAGTGACACCTGCTGATGATGGAACGAGAATAAACACGTACATGTGGTAACAAAGGCAAGGAAGGCTCGCTGGAGGGGCTTTACAAAAGAGAAGGGAACCGGCTGGGATTTTAAAGGCAGAGCCAGCGCCACTTCACGGTAAGGTCCCGCATCTAGGATGCTGAAGCTGATCAGAGAACTGGTAATGATAAAAAGATAGGCATCACAGTGAGATGAAGAACATGGGCTGAGAGACAAGAGGTCAGAACATGTAAGAGAAGCTGGAAAAACTGGTGTGTTTCGTGTCATGTGATTCAGGGAATCTGTGAACTCCAAGTCCAAATGCCCGATCGGTATAAGAAGCCAGCTGAGCAAGGCGCACTGCCCAGAAGCAGACTGAGCATGGCACTGCTCTCTCTTCTTTTCTGCTTTTGAAGTTTGGCGTATCCCTCTCCTATATGTTTAAATTTCAAGCACCCAGGTTTGCATGCAGTTGTGGGACTCTGTGAATAAAGAACGACCTGAAAATCAGTGACAGACACGGAAAAGGCCTGGTTGCTGGGGCTGCATGTGCAATTTAATTTCCACATTAAAGCTCGAAATTTTTTTCATTTTTATCGGTACCGGGGATCCAACTTATGACCACCTGCTTGCAAGGCAGGTACTTATGCCGCTGAGCTAAATCTCCAGCCCCTAAAGCTCGAAATTTTTAAACTGAACACACAGAGCCTCACTTTAGTGCCTCTTTTCCTGTGCTAGGCAAAAATGCAAAATAATTCGTCAGGAATAAACTAGGATAACTCCAGCCCTGCACTACCCAGCAGAGTTCGAAGCTGAAGAAACTAAAGGGGCTGGGGCTCCACACCCTGAGAAAAGGCACAGGTACTCACGGTTTTCCTCCTGGGATGCCAGTCAGGTTTGGAGGGATCGCGGGCACACGCATGTGATGGTGTGGATCAAAGCCCACCTGAAATTTCCCCACATAAAACATCAAAAACCAGCGTTACATTAACTTATTTTACTCCAGTCATCCTTCTTAAAGCCTGTTTTAAAACGTCCTTTAAAAATAAAAATCCTGGAGCTACAGACACAAGTATTCGCTGATAAACTGGCAGCAACTTTAGGAATGAATGGGCACACACAAAGGGTGGAATGCACAGGAACGAAAGTGTGCCAGTGATCACCAAAGCTCCTGACAGAAACAAAAAGGTAACTGTCCTCTAACTCTGTGCATTTAAAATTTCTCAAAAAATGTTAATCTTAAACAAGATGCAAACAAGAAACTTCCCTGCTTTCAAAATAGATCTCAAGATAGCACACACAACTTTGTTTCCAAATGCACTCAGAAGCATCCAGAAAAATTCACTACTGTATAGCTACATCCCACAATGGATGCCACCCTCCAGCTCTCCAATGCCTCTGCAGAAACGTACCACTGGTGATCTTCCGTAGGCGGCGGCGGCAGCAGCAGCAGCGGCAGCCGCGCTCATCTGCGGGGAGATGTTGTGCAGGCCAGCATAGGCGGCTCCGGGGCTGGTCAGCTCGCCATTCATCCCAGCATGGGGCACAATTCCAAATGGGGTTGGATATGGGCAGGGGACGGCCATTGGGGTCCTCAGGCTGGATGCTGCAGACCAAGATGGTGCAAGGGAAGAGAAAAATAGAGAACACAGGAAGGCACACTGAGATCATGCTCAAGTCAAGTTAATGAGTACAAACCACGGTTCAATGGACATATCTGAATATTCCCCAAAGCCACTCAAGCCCACGGAGGGCTTCCTTCATCCCCTGTGGAGGGTGCACACCTAGTACACCCTCCTGGTTTGGGACAAACGCGCCATCTTTCAGTCTGTCTCTCCATGCTGGCTCTTAATGCCACCACGCTACCCAGTCACTTTAACAGCAGAAGCATATGGGTGATACAAAAGAAAATGTGTTCTTACTAACCCAAGGGGTCCACTCCTGGCGGTTTTCCAGACACGGGCCTCAGTCCGGGAGTGGAGTTACTGCCTGGGGTGGGCGCGTCGGTTCGCGGAGTAGGGGTATTGGACTTTGACACAGGAGTAGTAGACTTTTCATTCTAACAAGAGAGGTAAAAAATGCATCAGTCATGAGAACATGGTTGTAACAATGAGGTCAGCATTTCAAAGGTAAAGGAAACACAAAGGAAAGGAATACGAGACACAGAAGAGACTGCTCAGCTAGGGCCTTTTCCATGCATTAATTAAGAGACACTAAGAAAAACAAAAAGGACCAAAGTTCAGGAACATACGAGTTGAAACTAACTTTACAGAGTAGATCATTTCCGGGAAACTGGGCTCAGTTAGAGGGTAAAGAACATTTAGAAGCCATGGTGTTCTAACTGCTGTCTGGTGTCAGAGCCTGGGGTTTAATTTGGGCTCTTAGTGGATTGTTCATGCCACAAGTGGCCTTCTGTTTAACAGGTCCCATTAGAAAAGAGCCAAGACTCAGTCCTCAGGGAAACTCAACAGGGGAGGTGCCACACACACACGCGCGCACACACACACACACACACACACACACACACTTACACAAGACCCAACTATCTTGAAATGGGCAGCCCCAAGTATGACCGAGCAGTGCTGCTTACAAGGCTGAGTTCTTTGGATTTGGAGGAAGGAGTGCTGCTGGAAGATGCGATGGAGGCGGGGCTTATCGGGGCATCCTTCTTAAGCAGGCGAGTCTTGTCCAGGCCATTCTCACGCGGGGAATGCGCTGGGCTTCCTCGGGGGGAAGATGGGTCCTGCAAAGAGACATCACAGGCGGTCAGGCTCACAGCACTGGGGCCCTGGGCGAGGAAATTTCTAGCGGAAAGCACCAAACAGCTGAGTATAAAATGTCCTGCGAGAGACCACAAAGCTCACTGAAACTGCCGGAGGAAATACTTGGTGTAGGGGCCAAAGAAAACACTGCAGTATTTCTTTAAAACAAAGCAAAGAAAGTCCACCCATCTGCAAGCTGGCTGCACATGATATCTGCTGGCTGACCAGGGGCCTGATGTGTGTTTGTTGTAGGAGAAAAGACACAGGTACTTCACAGGAAATACAGTAACAAAAAAGGACCAGGAACCACAAACTCAGTAACTCATCACTTATAGTGCAAAACAGTGTTCGTTTAAAAATTAAGAAAACAATGGACACTGATAGCTTGGACACAGTGTTTGGTGGAGCCTGTAAGAGGAGGTTAAATAGCCATCAACACACCGTACCTCATTGGAAACGTCCACCACCAAGTTGTCATCGCTCTTCTCACCGTCGCTGTCCTGCATGGACAATTGAAAAGCATTGTTCTCCACCAGCCAGAACCACAATGACAACAAAACACAAACCACTGCGTTCACTCTGAGTCCAGACTGACTCCTCACTGCCTTAGAAAAGCAACTGTGTCAAACAGCGGTAAACTCTCGGTGGTGTCCTAGCCTAAGTTCTTTAGTCTTCGTGATGCCCTTAGGGGCAATGGCTCCACTTGCTAGCTGGAAACACTGAAGAAGAAACTGCTCATCACTCTGGACTGCCGGGCCCAGGCCAGATTCACCTACAGAGGGGCGTGGCTTACTCTTTGCTCTACAGCCTGGAGTAAGTCGCAGCAAGGATGATGACGGGGAGGTGGAGATGCAGACACAGTAGCCCTGCAGGGCACCAGCAGGGACCATGTGACTTCCCATCCAGCTGGCTTCCTTCTGCGGAGACCCGCCCAGGACCTTGGGATGGGGGTGAGGGTGAGCCAGGGACACCTGGAGAGCTCTGAAAGGTACCACCCACAAAACTCTGGTGCGCGCCTCAGCACAGGAGCCTAGTCCGATGTCTGAAGAGGCCTCTGACCCTATCCTCCTTCTTAGCATCCCCAGCTAACCACAGAAAGTCCAGCCATCCAGAAATACACAGGGGGAAGGACTCTGCCCCATGGAAATGACGACACAGAGCCAAAGTCCTCCACCAGGGGCTGGCCAGGCGCTGTGGGCGCACGCCTACACACATACAGGGCCTCCACGGGCGGGACGCAAGGACACCGCTTTCTCCCAGAGGATGCAGTTAGCCTGTGGGTACCACCACCGGCAAGGCGGTTGCTGATACACAGCAAGTAAGTGGGAAAGGACTCACGTAGCGAGCTGCAATTTCTTTTTCTTCAGTTTTCTGCTTTTTGCTCTCCGAGGAGTAGTCGGTGGAATTTCTGTGCTTCTCAGAGCCTCGGAAACTGGCAGACGGGGATACCGAGGAGCTCTGGAATCAGGAAGAGCAGCAGAGCTGAGATACAACCTGCCACCGAACTTGGGGACTTTTTCAAATTACTTGAGACTTTCCCCCTTTTGTTCTGTAGCTCACATTGACAGAGCAGTGAGATGGGAAAGGAGAGGGAGGGTGATGGAAAGAAGATGTGAGCGGAGGTAGGAGGAGAAGACGAGAGGGAAAGGGATAGGAGAAAAAAAGACGGAGGAAGAGGAGGCAGAGACAGCGAGAGCACGAGAATGAGAGAGAAAGAGAGTGAGTATCGGGGGAGGAGAGATAAAAAAGGAACAGCAGGTGAGTTCGAGAACTCAGAGGACAGGGACTTTGGCCTCAAGTGTCTGTCTACCTTGCACCATTCAGAAAACTTTTAAAATGTTGAGGGAAAAAGCAGATACAAGAGAAAGGGAACAAAAAGCAGATTTTTCTTTAAGTTTGCAGGCTAGGGGGAAGCCAGTATTTCAACCTTATAAAGAGAAATTAAGAGTAGCCTTAGACGTAAGAGATAATTAGTAAATTTTCAATGGGAAAAAAAATCAACAAAACCAAACAGGATCCATTCTGTGAGTCCCCACACAGGAAAAATGCACCAGCAACAAGATGTGAGGCCAGAGGATGTGTGCCCGCCACAAAGGCCACGGTTACTGGGCTCTCTTAGAAGGTATGAAAGCTTAAAACCAGGACGGGGAGGGGAAAACTGGAGCTACCCTTAACAACTGGCTAATAGGGCGTGGTGGTGCACGGTTTAATCCTGGGGCATGGGAGGCTGAGGCAGGAGGATCACCATGAGTTCCAGGCTAACCTGGGCTCCATAGTGGGTTCAAGACCAGCCTGAACTACAGAGCAAGGCCCTGTCTCAAACCCAACCAAAAGCAAAACCAAACAAGAAAAGAACTGGCCGTTGACTAGGTGACGGACACACTAGAGAGAGAAGACCTACACACATGTGAGGACCCAGGGCAGGACATCCCTGCTGAGGGAGATGACAAAGGTGTGAGTCACAGAGTTCCTCACATGGGACCAGGGCAGGATTCCCAAGGGGGACATTAGCCCTGCTTGCTTGAGAAAGGACTGATCTTACAGGGCACAAGAAAAAACACTCGCAGATAAAATATCTAAGGCAAACAGCTCTAGGCAGAATGGTACAGCACCAGCAGAATTATCTCTGCCTGGCCTCCCAATAGACTCAGGAGACCAGTACAGCCCTCCGAGTTTATAACTTTACTTGTCTTATATGAAACTAGTTTTCCTTTAGCTCAGGCTGAGTAGTAATTAACACTGAGAAAGACCTGCAGCATTTTCATGGGCTCTAAGCTAACTGCAAGTGGTGGCTCCAGCTTCCACTTCATTCCTCTGAACCCTCACACTCTTTCTGGGACCGCTTTGCTCTGTGCTCCTGCACTGTTCTCCTACCATAACCCAGCGACTTCCAAGACCACTGAACCCGCACACAGAAGTGTCTGTAAGCTGCTCCCCACTTGCTTCACCCCAGAGTCCCTCTCAGGTTCGTTCTTCCAGCCCACCCCCAACACTGCTAAAATTCCTACTGCTCAAAGAACAGTTCCCGACTGTCCACAGCAGTGGACCATCCACACCAGGGCCCTCACTCCTGGGTGCAATTCACAGCTCAGCTGCATCCCGCCCAGATGCTAGGGACTTGTGTTCCCCATCTGTGTGTTTTTTATTGTATCTGCAGCCTCCCCCACCCCACTGCCTCCGGAAATGCCTCTTCACTCAGACTCTAGCCTTTGAAATCCTTAGTCCCTAAGAACCAACTCTTGGACCTCCCTCAGACGCCGTCCGCAGCACCCATCCCTGGTTCCTTGCCGCTGCCTTAGCATTTTGTTCATCCAGTGGGTACAGCAAAGACAATAAAAGCACTGCTGTCATCTCACAGGTCGTGGCTTTCCTGAGCACAGCAGAGACTGCTCAGGAATGTGTTTGAACAGAACAGCCAGGCTTAGCCTCCTCTGCATATAAACCTCCATCTTCATCTAAAAATCACCAACTGATTTCAGAGGTCCCCATGGAAACTTCCCTCAATCCCCTGTCTTTACGCCTTTACCTGTCCAGGTTCCTCGATCTCAGCCAGTTTGATATTTTACAGGAAGACTAAGCACATCAGTAACAACTACCTTTTTACCTGACACTGTGTTGAGTTACTTTCACACTGCTAAAAAAACTGAATTCTGCACGAGAGTCAAACAGCTTCTTAAAAACCAATACTAAAAGTGGATGCCTATTTAAATCTTACCGCGTACTTACAGGCACACATGCACAATCAACACCTTTATTTTTAAGCTGGCTGCTTCAGGTTGTACAGAGAGCATTTTATTACTGGATTTCACTGCAGAGCAGTGCTATACTTCGGAGGCTGCTAGTAAAATCATTAAGTAGTTGATTATCACCAGCATGCATAGGCCCAGCTGGGCAGTCAGCAATATTCCAACAATGGAACCGAGCTGGAGTCAGCTGGCCGGCCACAGCTCTCTCCTCAGGGATCTGAGAAGGCTGGCCCCAGTGGTCACCTGGATCCTCACTTTCCTGGGTGTGACCTGGGAAGAACTAAGGAAGTACTGATAAATGCAGTCATGTTTACCAGAAAAGCTTGTTTTTTATTTCAGTTATTGTTTTAAAACTTCAGTCAGTCACCTCCACAGCTTACACAAGAGATGAATTTAGAAATGCTGAACAAAAGTCTTTTCACAAAAGACTTTTCTTTCTGCTGATCACAGAGGTAAGCAGGTTTGTTATGAATGGAAAGTCATGGTCAGAAGCAACAGTCAGTCCAGAGAGGACAAAATACAGCACTAAGTGTAAATGTTTAGTAACGCTCCAGTTAGGGTCTGTACTTTTACTGGAGTAGTAAAAAAAAAAAAAAAAAAAAAAAAGAAAGAAAGAAAAAAAAAGGAGATTTGTTTGATTAAAGATAAAAGAGAGAAGGAAAAATGTAAAAAATTAAGATTTTATACGAAAATACCAATTGCATTCATTGGTAGCACAAGATAAGTTTTAAAGGTAGTTACACTGAGGGCTACAAATCAGGTTAATTCAAAAAAAGGAACAACTCTCCACTTGGTTTGAAATCTAGCTTTCACTGAGATGGTGACTGAGTATGCCAGTAAATGGACTCTTCGGACAACCTGAAAGGGGTGGCCCCACACCTCCTCTGCCACTGGAAGGTCAAAGAGAGGTGCAGCAGTCAGACCCCGCAATCAGACTACTGGTGTAGACTGCGCTCAACAGCAGCGCGGCCCGAGGGCTGCTGCTTAGCCCCAGCCTCCATGGCCCTGGACTAAGGCTCCTATCCCCACCTACCCTGGCTGCTTCTGGGGCTCGAATCACAGCCACACGGAGTCCAAGTCTTGGTCCCAGGCATGCAGCCTGGCCCTCGGCAAGGGCAGCTCTGGAACTTTCACTGCACACTGCCATCCAGCTGTTTCTATTTACTACACAAACTGAGAGGGGGAAGGAGCGTGAATGTTCTATTTTAAACCTCTTGTGAGGACTATTCAAGGCATTCGTGTAGTATTTCCCCTTGGCAAAGATATTCAGATGGTCCATAATGATAGGGTTTCAATAGGCTGCTATTAACCAAGCACATCTCCTTCCAACAATCACAGTAAGGGTTTGGTTCAATACTGCACTGAGACAGGGTTATAAATAATCTCCACAAGGGACTGTCTAATTTGATTCCAAAGCCCAGTCCACTTTCCATCCACACGGCCAATGCTCAGGTGCACAGCTCCACATCATCTTGCAGGGTTACAAGCATAAATGATCAATTAAAGGTTCAGTAGACAACCAGTATCATCAAGAGCCCTAAAACTCAATCACTATGGCTTGTCTGCTCATTAGCGATGGTATTCAAAAGCCTCCTCCAGCTGGCTCTGGAGGCAGAGGCCTATACTCCCAGCACTCTGGAAGGCTGAGGCAAGAGGATCTCAGGTTCAAGCCCAATCTGAGCAACTTAGTGACTTAGCAAGACCCTGTCTTGAAGTACAAAGCTAAACAGGGCCTGAGATTCAGTTTGGTGAGAAGGTTCTGGGTTCAATCCTCTCTCCTTAGTAAGAACAGGTACTGGTTATCAGAAAGACAGGGTAGCCCAGGTGCAGAAGGCACCATGAAAATCTGGCCAGGGTGGCCACAGCTATTGCTTTGCCCTTCACTGTCTAGGCTTCCCTTCCGTCTCCACAACAGGCCAGTTTGGGTGATGGATCAGTTACTCAGAGCCCCTCTGGACAGGAATTCTTGGAAATTCACCTGAGCCTCAGGGTACGAGGAAGAACACAGAAGGTGCGAGAGCCCTGTAGGTTCTTCACTGACATCACTGCCAGACCCTCAGACACAGATTTCTCTGTGACCCCTCAGGAAACCAGAGACCGAGGTCCAGACCAGAAGTAAACACAGGTGGCATCTTGGAGCTCAGGAAGGGCAAGGCACTGTGGCAGGGAAGCAGAGACTGAAGGAACTCCTTCTTCTGAGTGTAATAACTTCGACAGCATGATGAACCTATGACATGTGAGCCCCAGCAGGAGGGCTGTGTCACCGAAAGCTCTAAGCACTTGCCACCACTACTCTAAGAGGACAAAGTCTATATCTCTTGTCATCCAGAGTCCCCAGAACAGGGCACCTATGTTAGGAATGCTGAAAGTGAGTCCTAAAGGTCACAGCCTTAATAAACTCTGTATACCAAGGGATCCAGCACCTTCTCCCCCCGGCGTTTCTGACTGAGATTTTATTACACAGGACTGCATGAAAGGGCTCCACTGCTACTCACACAGCTTCTTACGGCCTATAAAACATTTTAATCTATTTATAAGGAAACACCCCGGACAGATGATGACAATAATCCTGTTTTGAAGAATAAGAAAGCTTCAAAATGAAAATGGTCAAAATGCGTAAGTCTCACATACTAACAACACACACTGGTTCATGAAAATTAATCTCAATTTCCTAGCACACTGCTGGTGAGAAGGTGGAATGGGCAGGGCTCT